TAGAAGAAAAACTTGCTTGTACTGCTTGTTATAAAACTTACTATGAAGCTCTTGACCCAGAAGACCCCAGAAGCCAGGAATATTATGATACAGGACTTGGTAGAGGAACCCTTGTCCAATACAAACTTTGTAATATTCAGAAACCCAGATCAAGAATGCACAACATAGAAAGCATACAAGAAGAATTGTAGTTCTGTGAATTGAAACATATGTATGCTTATAAAATCTTTACAGACCTTCAATATAATCCAAACTACGAGATTTGGAACAGAATTAGACATTATACTGAGTCTACCAGAAATGCTAGATATCAGTATAATTTGAACCAAGACCAAATTTATCGTCTAGTTAAAGTCCTACTTGATGAAGAATATAGGAGTATAGAAGAAGCTATGGAAGAGCAAGAAGATGATAGATATAATCGAAAATAGACCCCTGAAGAGATTACTATTCTATTTCAAGCAGAACAAGTATTGCTTACAGAAAAAGAAGAAGCCACCTTACAACGGGTCTTAAACGAATCATTTAATACCTCTCAATTTAACTTTGATACTCACAAAGCAATTAAGAATTTAAAAAAGAATTTTGAAGGAAAAGTGGCTCTTTGTCAAGAGTGCCTCTTTGCTAAACAAAGTACCAAATTAGAAGCTAATCAAGGTCTTTGTGATGAATGTTATCAAGAGAAAAACAAACCTCCTTCTGTTGAAGAAACAATTACAGAGAAAATGCACCAAGATGATATTATTACTACAGAACAGCCTATAGAAGAAATATACCATGATAATACTGTTATGGCAGAAAAATTTGAGATAAGTGAGGACACTATCTTCAAGAAGAGGAAGGATAAAGAAAAAGACCAAGTTATTGCTCGATTAGAAGCCAAAATCCAATACTTGGAAAAGAATTTTGAAAAGATAATGGAATTTTTCCAACAACAAATTCAACACTACCAAAAACAGGCTGAGTACTATGCTCATATAGCCTTCATATAGCAAAATTTTTGAACTATTCTAGACAAGATAAAAAACTACCTGAAGATTTAGAAGAATTACCAACAGAAGAAGAAGCTTTGCAACAGGTTTTGCAAGCTAATGCTCTCAAATATAATTTTGTATATACTATAGATACTTTAATTCTTTATAAGGAATACACATTAGAAAAGACAGACACTGTAAATATAGGACTATTTACAAAAGAACAAGGACAAGCATTTAAAATCTTGTTAGAAGAATTTGCTGATCTGTTTGCTAAAGATATTACAGAACTTGGCAGAACAGATAAAGTTAAACATAAAATTTACACAGAAGATATACCACCTATCAAATTGCGATCTTATAATGTCCCTTCAGATGAACAAGAGTTTATTAAACAAGAAATTGAATGAATGTTAGACAGTAACATCATTCAACCCTCAGAAAGCCCTTGGGCATCACCTGTTATTCTCGTGCAGAAGAAAAATAGAAAGTTAAGATTCTGTATTGAATACAGAAAACTTAACAGTATCACTAAGAAAGATGCCTACCCACTACCTCGAATTCAAGAAATGCTAAATACCCTCTCAGGATCACAATGGTTTTTAACCTTAGACTTAGCTAGTAGATACTGGCAAGACATGATGGACCTTAAAGATAAGGAGAAGACTGCTTTTATCACGAAGTATGGTACCTATGAGTTTAATGTGATAACATATGGATTGTATAATGCCCCTGCTACTTTTCAACAACTTATAGATCAAGTTTACAAAGGAATTGCTTAGAAGTTTGTAGTTGTGTATCTTGATGATACTAATGTATACTCGTAGATATTTAAAGACCATTTGAAACATTTAAAGATTGTGTTTTAGCGAATAAAAGATGCAGGATTAAAACTTAATCTTAAAAAATATAACTTCTGGATGAAGTCTTTGTCTTTTCTTGGACATATTATTAGCTCTAAAGGAATAGCCCCTAACCTCTCAAAAATTAAAACTGTTTAGAAGATCCAACCCCTAAGAACACTACCAAGTTACGATCTTTTCTTGAATTAGTTGGATATTATCAACAATTTATTCAAAACTTCTCTGCAATAGCCCGACCTTTGAACCAACTTCTCCATAAAGATGAATCCTATTATTGGAGAAACAAACAACAAGAAGCATTTGATATTCTTAAAGAGAAGTTGACTACCACACTTATTCTCACCTATCCTAACTTTAAGAAGAGGTTTATTCTTGCTACTGATACCTCTTACCATAGCTTTGAAGCCACCTTGAGTCAAAAAGATAGAGATGGAAAGGAACATCCTATTGTCTACGCCAGCAAAAGTCTAATAGTAGCAGAACAAAATTATTTTGCAATGGAACTAGAATGTGCTGCTATTGTATGGGCTATTGAACATTTTTATAGCTATCTAGAAGCTACTGAATTTACTCTTGTGACTGACCACCTTGCACTAAAATGGCTTAAAACTGTAGAACCAAAAGACGGATTGGACGATGGATTTTGAAATTACAATCCTATAACTTCACTATTATACACAAACTGGGTAGAATTCACTCTAATGTGGATGCTCTCTCAAAACTCTGACCAACCAGAATTTTAATAATGAATTTAGATTAATATCAAAATCTATTCAGCTATTTAAATTCTGACACCTTACCTTCTGACTTTACTACTTATCAACGGAAACAACTTCAAAATCAGGCTAAATATTTCATGATTAAAAATAGACATTTATATAAGAAAAACAAACGAGACTTAGACAAACCATTTAGAGTTGTTAAATGGACTGAAGTAGATCTTATCTTATACATGATGCATAGTCATCCTACTGCTAGACATTTGGGAATAGATGCTATGTACTATAAAATTGCAGAATAATATTATTGGGACTAGATGTATCGAGACATTAAAGAATATGTAAAGATCTGTGAAACATGCCAAAGAAGAGGCAAATCCAAGAGAAAAAAACCACTACATCCTATCAAAATAGAACAAGTCTTTGAAAGAATTGGAATTGATCTAGTAGGACCCCTACCCATAACCACTCGCAACAATCGATATATTATTGTTGCAACAGATTACTTGATATGTTGGCTAGAAGCCCAAGCTGTACCAGATACAGGAGCCTTAACTCTTGCTAAATTTATCTTTGAAGAGATAGTGTGTAGACATGGAACCCCTAGGACTATTCTTTTTGATCAAGCAAAAAATTTTAGAAGTGAAGTAATTAAAGTCTTATGTGAAAACTTTCTTATTCGATATAAGTTTTCATTACCATATCACTCTCAAACTAATGGTATGGTAGAAAGATTAAATAGAACTTTGTGTGAATCACTAACAAAAGTAGGAACAAGTGAAGACTGGGATCTTAACTTGCATGCAGTATCATTTGCTTATTGAACTAAAAAGCATACCACTACAGGATATACTCCATTCTAGCTAGTATATAGAAGACAAGTTATTTTACCAGTAGAATTAATTTTTTCTACTACTAAGACAGAAATAGAAATAAACTTAGAAGATAGTATTTTATCTTGAGCTTTTGATCTTATAGATAAGTTAACAGAAACTCAAGAGCAAGCCAA